GGAAAGATCAGATCCTTCCGTCTCCTTCAGAGCAAGCATATTACCACAATCTGCAACTCTTGCTACTCAAGCTATGAGATTTTCACATGTAGAAGCTCCCAGCTGCTCTAAATTCCATGCCATGCTACTGTCCTGGTTTCAGCAGGGATAGAGTTCATTTTCTTCCTAGCAGCTGGTGTAACGCTGGGTTATGGATTTAGGATGAGAATAATGTTGATAACACGCTAATATTTTAGTTGTTGCCAAGCAGTCAAGGACTTTTCAGCTCCTCATGCTGCCCTGCCAATAAGAAGGCTGGAGGGGGTGCCCAAGAAGCTGGGAGGGGACACATCCAGGACAGCTGACCCAAATTGGCCACAGGGATATTCCCTACTACATGACATCATGCTCAGTATCTAACTGGGGAGTGGGCCAGGAGGTGGGGCAGCTCAGGAACTAGCTGAGCATCAGCTTCGGGTGGTGAAAAATTGTGCTGTGGATCACTTGTTTTGTATATTCCTCTTATTATTATTATTTTCGTCATAATCTTCTTCATTCTCTGTCCTATTAAGTTGTCTTTATCTCAACCCACAGGTTTTACTTTTTTTTTCCCCCCTTTTCTATTGTCTCCCCGTCCCACTGGGGAGTAAGCAAACGGCTGTGTGGTTGTTTTAGCTGCCTGCTGGGTTAAACCATGACAGCTACCAAACCGACTTTAGTGGTAACCCAAGATAGCATGGGTTCAAGCCTTTAAAGCACACTACACTTTCCTCTGCTGCAAAGGTGCTGTTCTATAAGGATCATAAGAGATCATCTCATCTTCACAAAAACCATATATCATCCTTGAAGCCCACACATAATGTTCCATAAGTAAAGCCTTGTGCAGTTGTGTGAATAAATTCCGAACACTTGCAATAGTTCCATTTGATTGAGCAAGATTCATTTTACAAATAACTCAACACAGGCTTAACTTCTGCCAGCCCCAACTAAATCAACTAAATGAACAAGCACTTGATGTCTAGGCGTGAACAACATTTGAGCAACATCAAAGTTTCATTTTTATAAAGTAATTTTTCTCCACCACAACTGTGTTAAAACAGAGCTTATTAGCTAATCTTTAGTCTCATTTTTAATATGCTATTAGTATCGATAAAACAGATCTTACCTTGATCTTCTGAAGAGACCGGTGACCTGGAATAAAACAATAAAGTCCAGTCAATCTTTGGTATGAAATGGCCACAAATAAGGTTCAGTGTCACTGCAGGGAATGGAATATGGACAAATGTGACGGTTTTATTCTTAAGTTTTATTCTTTATTCCTTAGAAGAGAGGGCTGAAAGGCATCTGACAAGAAAAAAGCAGAAAAGGGCAGAGACGTACTCTAGCAACAGGTTCTGCAGACCAGAGTGGCCATATGGAGTCATGTCCATAAGGCAGCTGTTAGCTGCACTGTTAAGCATTCATGCCAAGAGTTTCCACAGGTACTTGGCAAAAAACTTATCCACTACTGTTACTGTTGGAAATAGGTGACATATTACTGGTGAGAAAGTCCTGATCCTCCAGAGATTATTGAAGGGACCATAATTAAGTGTGGGCCAGAAGAAAATCTCACAGCTATGGGTGGTTGAGGAAATTACAGCTTCATGGGAACTCACAGTCATTAAGTTAGCCATTTTTCTTACCATCAGTCAAGGTAGTTGCTAGCATAAAACAGTGGTCATAATTAATAACAGTTCATGCCACCTTCACAAAAGCAACATAAACAGACCAAAACAAAAAAAAAAAAAAAGGTCTGGACGGATGCAAGTACAGTAAAAAGCAACATAACAACAGCAACACAAGAGTTAGATGATACCCTAACCAGTGGCTCCAAGAGACTGAGGGGTTATAAAACATAAAGGGACCTCTCAGTGCCCCTGCTGAATTCCAGAGATTTGTGTCACAGCTCCCATCACTAAGGATCACACTCCTCAACCTTTTGGTCAGCACCCACAACAAAGGCACATAAAGAGGTGTAAAGTGTTTTTCCTCCATTTTTCCCTTTGCTGCACTAGCGTGGCTTAGCAAACCTGGGGCTAACTGTACACCCAAATCTGGGATGTACCTTGGTTATTTAGACTACATTGACAGCACACAGTGGATTCAACCATTGCCTCAGCACTTCCCCAGCAAAGATTTTCAACTGCATATATTGCCTTCCCACCCAGGTAACAATGAGTTTGTTCCTGTGGTGAATGGGACAACCCACGCTTCCTTTCCAAGATATATTTAATTTTGCTCCAATGTACAAAAATAACAAATTACTAAAGATTTAAAAATGTTAATGTTGCCAGCAAACAGATCAAAGCTGACATAAGAAAAGCAGCCACAGAGGGGTGAAGGGAAAAGAAGGAGCAAAGGGGAAAAGAGCACATGTGTATTTAACTGAGTCAGCAGGGGCTGAGGGTTGAAGGCGGGGGAAAGAAGGGTTAGAAACCCTGGATTTAGAGGAATAAAGGAGCTGAGGAAGGAGTCATGATCCCATTCCATAACAGGGGTCTGAAAATGAATGTTGAGGGATTATATGACATCAGAAGCAGATATGCAAATATGTAGATGCAAACAGGAAAGATGGAAAGAAAAGAAGGAAACTTTCCTAATGAGGTATGCAAATTTTTAGTTTTAAAAAAGAGATCTGCAAAGAAAGGAAAGAGTTACAGCACAGCTGGAGCAATGGTCACTGTGAAAGGAAAAAGTGTGATTGCCTAATTAAGATTCTGACTGTGCAAGAAGCCAATGTGTCTGTATGGATCAGAATTAATTAATCCTCTACTCCTGTTAAATCCTGCGATTGCTGCATGCTCTGCTGCCAACCAGGCCAGCTGTGCCCTTGCACTTTAGCCATGTCTGCGGAAATACAGTAGGAATGCAGGTAACCCAGAGGGTTAGCAGGCATCACTAGGACTCTGTCCCACTGCTTTGACCAGTTCGTTACAGGCCTTTCTCCACAACCCCCAGCAGAACCTCTTCTGAAGGTCAAAACTGAACACAGTGTTTCCTACAAAGTGAAACAGTGCAGAACAGGCCATATCAAGAGGTGCAAATTTTTAGTTTTACATGCAGGAATCATGACAGGTTCCTTAGCTCCCATATTCTGATTCTCTAGCCATTGCTAACACCGTATCCCACAGCATCGGTAGGATTTATTCCTTTGTTTTGTTTCTTAATTACACAGTTTCATCACCTTTCAGATCTTTATTTGAAACAATAAAATAAACAGTAGAGATTATCCTATAATTTGGCTCTTCTTTATGCCTGGTAAAACAGATGTCATTAGTTCCTTAAAGCATCAACAACAGGAGAGACACTGTTGGAATACCACTGCCTTCTCAATTAAAACATTGAAGGAAGAAATGAAAAATCTGTCTGTGCATATTTAATGTGCCCAAAATTTTCAAAATACTTGCTTTGCTGCATGCCTTGAACACAGGGGTTGAACAGTAAGAAATGTAACAGGTTGCTACTAGCAGTGTTTTCATTTGAAAGGCTTCTTCAAGCATCTCTTGGAACTGTGTAGCCTGGTATCATGAGAAAATAAGGTTTATATAATCACAGCATCTTGAAGTGTACATATGCACCTCTCTGCCTCACCCTAATAAAGTTTGAGCTTGTTGGCTCATTTCGCCTATCATTAACGGGGGGTTGGACAGCCAATTCCTGTTTTCACAAGGAAATGCAATACCATTAGCTCAAACTTTCTGACATAGCTGCGAAGATACAAAGAGAGGTTTTGAATATCTCAGCCACAGGAAAGCCTCAATGAGAGCTTCTGCCATTGGAGATACCAAAGGTTCAACCACAATAAACTAGGCTTCTTTTCTTACACTACTGACATAAAGTATTTTGGCGAAGAGTGGAGACAGCTTTCAACATTCTCCTACAATTTCAGGCCATATGTTTTAGCAGGGGGAGGGATTTTTCCAACCTATTCAAGTACTGGCCTAACTACACCAAGGGGAGTCTTGCTTGTAACTATAATGTAAGGAAGTGAGGCTGCTGAAAAGACTGCACTAATAGCGTTGGGCATTTTATGCATTGTCTGGTCTACCCCATGCTTATGACAGGCTCTAAGGGAGGAAAGAAAGAAAGTCTAATGACCTGCTCTAAACCACATACACTCACTCTGCAGCCACAGGGGCCTTTCCTGACAGAAAAAAAGATCCAGTAGATGCTCATATTTCCGGTCACACAACTTTCTCTCGGGTCTGTAAGAAGTGTGAGGGATATACTGTGGCAGCACTGATCGCCAGACGGGTGTCCTGAGAAGGGAGGATTCTCAGCTGCTAATATCCACACAGCAACCATCTATCTAGCACCTCTCAGCTGCCCTCCGAGTGTGATTCTAGCTGTGTGTTCAACTGTCGTGAAGAAGCAAGTTATCATTCTCACAACCTCTATGACTTAAAAAAAAAGTAGAGACAAGTCAGAGATACTTCAGAAAAACTAATATACTGTCAAGATCTGTGGTCCCACCTGGGTCAAAACACTTTGCCAAATGACATCTTGAAGAGATTTTCATTTGGTTAAACAAAACAAAGCAAATCAACCCCCCCAAACCTTCAGGAAAAGGTTCAGGCACTGCAGTATCCTTTTCTTGGCCAACTCAGAATATAATTGCTTAATTTTTTTTTTATTTGTTTTTAATATCAACTGTTACTTTTTCCTGTTTTTATCTTGGTGTAAAATTAACTAGTAGAAAGAAAGGCTCATCACCCCCCCACACCTCCCCAAAAGAGTGAAGACAGGCCACATTGTCTACGACTGGCTACATTTCCAGAATCATGAGATTAAATTAGCTCTTCCACCAACAATGCTCTTTTCCCATGTGTAAGTGTGAAAGGGAAGCCAAATTTTAAATATTTTCACCAAAGGCGTTAATCTGACTTTTATCCTGCCCTGGTTTGACCGATGCTTTATGAAAATCTATTGCTGTAGTGAGTAGCTGAGGGGAAGACAAGTATTACTATGGCGATAGGAAAGGGATTCAGAAGGAAGGAAAAGGGGAAGTATGTTATCATCTCCGGTTTCTTTCCATGCTGTTTATACTCCTCCTTTCACTACAGGTCCTGCAGTAGCATTCTCCGGTTGCAGAGTGGCAAGCTCTCCTCAGAAGAGATAACAGCACTTGCAAGCCTCGGTCCACACGGGGAAGCTGCACATTGCCTGTTCCACCACTCCCTGCGCAAGCAAAGAAGTACCTTTTGTGCTTAACACAAAATGCAGAATGCTCTCCCAAGAAATGAAGTACAAATATTTAGAAATGCATAAAAAAGCCTGAATGATTATGTAAAAAGCCCCTACTCATACATTCACTAGATGCTTCCAGCAAATTGGAAGACTTATGATACTGAAGGCATGAGACATGCCCACCTAAAACACTGTGCCTCAGAGTTCATGGTGTGACCCAAAGCTCACTGGAATTTTTCCACTCACTCTTACAGGCTTTAGATCAATTGCTGGCAAAAATCTAATCCCCAGCATAGCCAAGACAGACTTCAATATCATACAAGCCTTTCCCAAACAGCCAAACACTCACAGCTATTTCCAAGTGCACTTGCCAATGTGCAAGCACTAGATTTATTCAGCACTGGAAGGGTGGAAGAGGGAATATTCATTTCTAAGGAGGGAAGGGCAGGGACTGTCACAACTTTGAGCCTACTCAACTGAGGCTTAGGAACCTAGAGAAATACAGCCAGCCGCCAGCAGATGAATTCTAACAAAATTTCAGCAAATGGGCACATTATTCATGAAGACAAAAGCCTCTGGAGAAACAAACACAGAGCTGATGTAAAGGAGCTATTTTAATCAATAAACCTGTAGCAGAAACCATCTGCACCAGGCCTATTTAAAACCACCCATTTACAATTTAAAGGCTAAATAACAATCTGTGTGCAGCAATTCTGCTGGTTTTTATGACCATTCCCCTTTTTCCCTGCTTAAGCAATGTATTTCTGCAAACTTTCTAATTCAGTCTGACAATAGCTGCCTCTGACGAGGAGAGGCAAAGAGCTTTCAGATTAAACCCATGCCTTCTCATTTTGTGTGTACATCTATTCATAACTGAAAGTGGCATTTCTATTGGGATTTATTTATATATTCTCTGATTGTAATCAAAGAAAATTTTTAGCGCATAAAGTATTTTTAAAATAAAG